AAGGTGGTAAATTGAGACTAATAATATATGGCCTAGAGTTTGCAGATTAAAAAGAAATAACCATGTCCATAGCTCACTGAAATGGGTTTTCATACTTACAATAGCATACTCATACAATTTAATACTATGTGGCAATTTTATAGAAATTGACTACTCCTGGAGTATGCTAACAGACAGTCAGTAATTTGAAACTGAAAATAAAATCTAGTATCTGTCAAATTCATTTCCTTGCTTTTTACTGCATTCATAGTCTTATTTTAATTCATTTACGAAACATATACAGACTCGGTGTCTCCTAAATTATGGGTTGTTTTCCACTTGGGTGTGAACCTATGTGGTATCCAGGTAGGTAGTGCTTACTCATATGCCACGTGAGGTGTCCAGTGTCCCATCAAGGACTCAAGTTGTCTAAATGAAATGACTTATTTAGAAATTTGAAACTTGCTTATTATCCTTCAGCAACACTGCAATTCAGATTTGAACAATAGAGTCCAACAACTGAAAATCAGAACTGTTCGTATTCCAGGTAATGTTTTTTAAGGAATTATCTTTACAGTCCAAAAGGAACTTTAAATTATTCAGTAGAAACCTAGCTTATTTGGCAATTAATTTATTCTTTGTTCTTCAGCCCATAAATTAGAATTCCATATGCAATAACCATATTTCTCAAATCTTCACTAGTCTCTCATCATTTCATATTTAGATTATAGCAAAATAGCCACCAAACTGCCTTCCTTTAGTCTCACTGTATAATTTAGCCCAAACTAATTATCCTAAACATTGCTTTTCTAGAAAACCAGAACAACTGCTTAATTCTCTTTTCCAACAACTCCTCTTTGTAATGAGGCAGATATTCCACTTTCTGATCCTGCTCTGTTGGATCTCATTCTTTAACAAAAGTCTTCTGCTCCAATCAGGTGGGTACCACATTACAACACATGGTTTATGCCTCTTCCCAAAGTTTCTACCTGGGACACATCCCTTTTCATCCACCAATATCCAAATACTGACATCCTCACCCTGCACCTTCTGCATAATCCCCAAATCAAGACTGTATTTACAGTCAGTAACAGAAGATCTTAACATTTTTCTTAACTGGCTCATTAAGAAATTGACATACAGTTTGACATAACTCACCAAGTTATAAACTCATTAAGACACAAATTCAGTTTTTCACTTATTTTCTGTCATCTGTAAGATATAGTAGAGAGTTAGACCCTTCATAAATGTTGATTAAATGTGAACATCTGAAATATCCAAATATTTATATTTTTTAAGTATCAGTTCTTTATATTTTCAATTGTGGGACCATTTCCTAGAGAGTAATAGTGTTGAAAATAAATTTCAGACATATTTTTAGACATATTCTTTGTTTAGTACTTCCCCAAACCCTGAAAACACACGATGTCTTGGTATTATTTAGAGAACATAATTTATATTCGGATTTACTTTTATTTATTTTAGAAAAATGTACAATTTCAGTACATATGAGAACAGGATAATAGTTTAACGTATTAAATCGTGTCCCATTTTTGTTCAGGAAAAAGTAACTTTGAGACTAATGATATTTGATTCAGTTCTGATTTCCACATGAGTAACTTTGTGCAAAGCATAGGTCAAGCTCTACGGGTTAGCCCACAATGCCTCCCAGGAAGTCTTCCTTCTCCTCATTGACTCAAATCGCATTTTGTCTTCAAGGCTCTCTCAGGTCCCAAACTCTTTACGAAGTCTCCCTGTTTACACAAGTCCTATTAACTTTTCCTTTCTCTGAATTCCACCAGTATTTAGAATAACTGCCATATAATACCTGATTCGAATACAAGCTACCTTTTGTTGTTCTCTATTTGATTTATGTAAGTTTTGTGCTCTCTAATGTATTCAGGAACAGAGACTCTTCGCTTTCACAATGATTAGCAGTATTGGGCATTACTCAAAATGCTATGAATACTCATGGACTTGATTCTTTGCCAAGTTCATGTTTCTCTCTCTCTCTCTCTCTCTCTCTCCACACACACACACACACACACACACACACACGCACACACATGTTAAAATATAATACAAATGTTCTTATGTAGAAAGATTTTTTTTTTTTTTTTAAGTTCACCACTTTAGCTGCTACAGACCTGGGGAAAAAAGTAAGTTTTCTCCCTCAGAATGCCTTCGATATTCTTTTTTTTAAATGTAGCTTTTATTTTGTTATGAGAGTCTTTTGATTTATACTAAAACTAATCTATTTGATCCAACCCATATTTCCCACAAAGTTACCACAATATAATTTGAATCCCATTCGACAAGGCTTTGAAAACCCTCGAATTATAACCAAGTCGTACAAGAGTTAATTTTCAAAAGTAATTTGAGTATTAAGTATCTTTACTTAAAAGTTAAACAACCAAGTTTAAAAAGAAAAAAAAAAAAACTTTTAATGAGGACTTATGTCCCGAATACATTAGAAACTCAAATTTAATTAAAAGTTTTTTTAAGTAATTTATATAAATTTTACTTTTAATGTAAGAGTCTATTGCTTCTCAATTATTTCTTTGAAAGCTTTTGATATTCTAGCAAAGAAGTGTAATCCCATAACACATCATTAAATATAAAGTTTTCTGTCTCTTCCATCATTCAGTTATCCATCCGTCATTTATTCAATGCCTATATACTAACTACCTACTCTGGGCATGCGCCAGTTAGTTGATGTGGGAAACATTAAGGTGAATTAGACTTGCTTAATGCTGATTGGTGAGATGAGCTTTGTTCTGACTCATCAGATTATAAAAGCAGGAACCATTCACCAAGAGGGGAGCCCTCAGAGAATGAGCTCTGCTGGGATGGGCATCTCTGGGACCATTAAATCATTTCATTTTAACTTGGCATTTAGATCAGGCAGTGTAGAGGTAACAAATGGCAGCTTCAAAATTTGAATGTCTTAATAGAGCCATATTAAGTAGTTTGTGCAACAGAGTAATGGGAAAACAATCAATGATCTTTTGAATTGCTACCAAAAAAAAATACAGAAAACAAATTAACCCAGACTATGAAAAGCCATCCAAGTAACCTTACAATGGAGAGTCAAGAAGACAAGTAATCATGATATAAAGAAAGACATGCAGATATTTAAGAGCTATTTTCAACAGTTAAGTAGTCAGAAAAATACTTAATTAGTATCCAAGGACTTGTATTTTTAAAGCAAGCTCTAGTGAATTATTGTCTATTATTTTAAAAGTTGAGGCTAAATCCACACATGTGCTGATAAGTTATAAAGGAATTAAGTAGCAGAAACTCATAGGGAAATTATTTAAGCGTAATAGACCTGCCTCATGCAGTTTCCTATGTCACAGACTGGCTGATTCACTGGATCTAATGTGAACAGGTACTGCTTTGCATCCAGTGGCAGCTAGAGTAAATGGGAAATAATTCTCCTGCATTGTGTTAGCCTTGCCCCTTTCAACTGAATTATGAGACTTGAAAGGACATAACACATTACAGCAATTATATTTGTTTAGAAGTCTTTTACAGTGAGGATTGATATTGCAGCACAAGTTGTGTTCAGCATATATTCTCCTTAGTAAATCATCTCATTAAGCTTGTTCATACAGAAAATCACATGTGTAAAGAAACAATAACAAAGCTTTCCTTCTGGTCATCAGTGGCATTTAGTTTTATATTTGTGAGCCAAAAAATACCTCAGGTAGTATGCTTTTATAAATATAAATAATGAATCTACCGTGGTTTTAGGAAATGCAAATGAGGCCCTGTTAATTTTTTACATCTCAAGATAGTGTAATCCTTTCCATTAATTTCATGATACTTACATTTCTCAACAGCAAAGATTTCAATGAACACTACAGGTCATTGGTCAAAGTTTATTATAATTATTAGTAGTTTCATGTTGCCATTATCAAATCCTGGTGTGCTGGAGTCCTTGGTCAATGACTGAGAGTGAGAACATGTGTACAAGACAGTCATGGAGGAAGGCACGAACACACGCTGTCTAAGCAGTTACTGTTCAGGCACTTGACCTATGTTACCTTATGCTATCTTCACACTGCTGTCAGGTCAATAGTGATGGTACCCCAATTTAGCCCATAAGAGAACTAAAGCTTGCTTTTCCAAGGTTAGTGGAATTCAACCAAAGTTTGTTCCAAATCTGTGTTTCTTCCAAGATACAACTGAACTTCCTGAAATGTGTTCAATATGTTATTTCACGAGTGGTAAGTCTTGGGTGGGGGCAGAACAGACTAAGAAAACACACAGCTTTAAGAAACTTCACAGAAATATGTGGATAATAAATCCCTAATGTATTATTTAAGGTAGCTGAAGTCATTAGGGACCACTTCTGACCTTTCGGTTTGTCAGAGAAGACTAGACCTTTCTAACATGCATCTCTTGATACTATTCTCAAGATAAAAGTGAACAGATAATGGACTAATCCAGTTTAGAAGGTCTTTGTTTCCTACAAGTTCAAAAACCTTCAAATAGCTCAATACATTCATACATCAGCCATAGTCATTCTAAGATGACCAGAATCCCCTCAGATGACACATCTACAAATGTATCACCATCTATTTATAGCCTTAGCTCCTTCCCAATTGCCTCACTAAAATATGGGGCTTGGGTCTTCTTTCCTGTATTCCATCGTTCCCTGACTCCTGACTGAGGCCTCACTTCATCATTTGTACTCCACTGTATCCTCAATTTCCCCCCTTTTCTGGCTCTTCCCAGGCAGTGGAAAGTACTGTCTAATTAAAAAACTAAAATACAAATTGTTTTTTTAAAAAAAAGATCCTTCACCATCCTACTCCTCACTTGACATTCTATACTTCCCTTCTCCTTCACAGCCTAGCTTCTTGAAAGGATAGTCTATAATGCCTGTTCCGCTTCCTCACTACCTACTCATTCCTCATCCCACAACAATCTGGCTTCTGCCCTTGCCATTCCACTGAAATTAGCCTTGTAAAATTATAAATGATCGTCTAGTTACTTAATTCAATGGACATCATGTGATTTCCCAGCTTATATACTAAAATTAGAAAGATGTGGAGAAGATTATCATGGTCTCGGGCAAGAATGACAAGCAAATTTATGCAGCATCCAATATTTTTATGGTATGAACTCATTTTGTTATATATAGACATATATCTGGATATAAAGAATACATTTGCATAGAGAAAAAAGTCTGGAAAGATATACATCAAAATTTTAACAGTAGTTATGCTGGGCAGTGGGTTTAGGGTGATTCTTAAATTATAAAAAATTATATATATTTTTCACCACATACATTTTATATATATATATATATATATATATATAT